ATAGAGAGTGGTGTGTGGAGTTCTGAGGGTGGCGAGACACTGGGATAAACTCTGTAACGATTATTGGGTTGAGTTGGCTCATCATCAGTGTGATTCCAATTGTTATCGTTGCAGGTGCCTTCTTGTGATTGGTTGTTGGGAGTCTGTCAGAGAGTGAGAATCCCTGTGTGTCTCTCCCCATCTGTGCATGATTGAATTCCGCTGCTTATCTTTGTCTGTGTGCAGTTTGGACTCTATCTCCTCTCCCCTTTGTCTGGTATGTGTATGGGCGTGTGTCAGACACTATGTGTGTGAGTGGCGAGAAAATCGTCAGACAACCAAGTTCATAACAGTTTGTATTGGAGCGGGATTGGAATTGGAACATTGAGGGTTGAGCGCAACTGAGGCATCTTCTTCATCTGGCGACCTACTGGCAAGAAGTTTCATACCGAGACAGTAGAGAAGAAGATTTCCAGCGGTGAATTCAGGACTTCAGTGTTTGAATTGAACAAGCGCACTGAGCCTGTCAGGGCGCTTGCCATGAAGTGGCGAGAACAGGGTTAATTCGCCATAGCCAACCCTGACGGCAATACAGCGAATTGCCTCAGAGTGGCGAATTACCCCTGAGGACTTCAGGGACCTCTAAGCGGCTTCATCCCTGAGCAGCACTGAGGTGGAGTGACAATTTGTGTCAATCTCAAGAGAGATTAACCCCATTTGGGGCTATTTATAGCATCAATGGCTGCCAGGCACTGTGGCGAGATAATCTTTTGTTGGCTTTCTGAGCGCCACAGGGTCAGATTCAGTGAATCTGACTAGAGGGGCTGAAGCGCCTCAGGATCCTGAACAAGATCAACAAGTCTAGAGAGATTTTATGCGTGGAGGTCAGAGGAGGAATTTCTGGAAGAAACTGGCGAGATGAGGGTTTCAGTCGGCCATAGCCAGATCTTCATCAAGCTCTGTAAGAAGCTCTGAAAGTGAGTCCGTTCCATGCAAATCTCTGTATAGCAATTCAGATAGGGTTAGAATAGTTAGTATTAATGGTCAGTCTGTCTGTCAGTGTCTGAAATGAGAAATCGCAGACTGCATGACATCCATAGACATCTCTCTCCTACCTCTTTCTGCTCATTTCTTACCCTCTGTGTCATATTTTCCATCCAAAATTGTTATGTGACTGCATTACTGTATTGCGCTTGATCCCGCATGCTCAAACTGTGAATTCTGCACTGGAATGGTACAAATACTGTGAATTGTAGTTTTGCGCTGAGTCTAATAATAGCCTGTGCTAACCAGGGTCAGTCATAACTCCAATTATGTCTGTCAGAACTCAATTTTGTCAGTTTGCAGTAATCGCAATTCAGTAGTTGTCAGTAGTGCAGAAGCACTTGTTTGGATTTGCAGTATTTCACTAGATACAGTGAATACTGTAATTCGCCATACCCAAGGGTATGGCCGCCAGAGTCATCAGGGCCGAAATTGGAGTCTGAGCTAGGATCTAAGCTTTCTGGCTGAATCGCTTTGTCTGGTTGGTCTTTGTTGCCTAGTATTGCCATGCCTTTTCATTCTCACTAATCTCTCTTGCTTTGTAGTGGGCTTTAGAAATCTAGGGTATCTCTAGAATTGTTGGAGATGTGTATACTAACTTCAGTAAAGGTTCAGGGTCAGTAAAAGGAAATCCTGTGATTGATTTTACTGGACTGTTGTCTGTCTGACCCCTGACCCCAGAGAAACCGTTCTAACCCAAACCGCTTGTTGCCTATTCACCCACCTACCTCTGCGTATGAGACAGCAGCGATTTCTCAGAGTCTTAAGGAAATTGAAAATCGCTGCATATTCCCCTGCTGGTCTACTACTTACTGTTGAATGGAAAGAGGAAAATGGCGGATCAAGGGTCTCAGAAGCAGCCACAGGTGGAAGTAATGATGAAGGTAGAAGAACAACAACCTTCTGCCTCCACCCCTACTACCCCTCTGACTGCCACTCAACGAAAGGAGTTACAGGAAAAACTGCAGCAGGAGCAGGCCCTGCTTGCAGAATTGGAGAGACAGGAGGCAACCGAGCTAGAGGCTGCAACAGATGCGTCACGTGGCGAATATCTGTTGGAGCAGCTAGCCAAGGTTATGTCAGATAACCGTTGCGCCCAGGTGACTAAGAACTTGGCAGAGTGGGCCATTCTGGAACACAAAGCCACCAGTTCTTACTTCACTAACTGGGATGACCGCATAGGTCGTCTGGAGCGCAGAGTGGATGACCTGGCGGCTCAACATTCAAAGATACTGAATGCAATTCAGGATTTGACAGGATTTGACTGCTCAGTTGACAGCAGCCAAATTGATCGCTCCTCAGTCTCCTGCACTCTCAGTGAAACCTTCTCCTTCTCCTTCCCCATCTCCCTCTGGTTCACGCCCTTCTTCCCCTTCACCACCTCACTCCCAAAAAACTCCAGTCCACCCATCTCTTGCGTCTGTTGCTGAAGGAGATCAAAGGGGACCCAAGATCCCAGCTCCCAACAAGTTCAGAGGGGATGACCCAAAGACTGTTGGGCTGCTGGGACCAAAGCCTACTTGAGGGGCTTTACTTGTGCAGAACAAACCAAAGTAGCAACGATTCTGGGACTGCTGGAGGGGTCTACCCTGAAGTGGGCCACTTCTACTTCCAGCAGTCGGCAGCAATCTATGGAGGACTGGGCTTTTGGGCTGGGGGTGGACAAACTTCTGCAGGCCTTAGAGGACCGCTTTGCAGACAAGGAGCGGGCCCGCAAAGCTGCTGACAGGATTGCTCGCCTGGGACAACAGCGCTATAACGGGTCACTGCAGTCCTTGTTTGCAGAGTTCGAGCAGTTGATCTCTACCCTGGGTTGGTCATGTCAGTAGATGACCTGCTGACCAACTTCTACAGGGCATCGCCTGAGAAGTTTGTTGTTGCCTTGTATAGCGCTGGACATAAGGATTGGAGATCCTTCGGCTGTGCAGCCCTGGACATGGAGGGAAAGCTTCATGTTCAGGCCCCTTCTTCTGACAGAAGAAAAAGAGCCTTCCCTCGTGGTGGCCGAAAGGGAAAGGTTGCCTTCACACATGCAGGATCTGCATCAGCAAGTGATTAAGACTCCCAGGTTGATGTACCATCAGTTGGGACTGATTCAACTGCTTATACAAATGTTGCAGCGGCCCTGACTCAGGCTGTCTTGGGAGTTCTGCAGCAGCAGAAACAGTTTTCCCCCGCTACAACCTCAGCCAGTTCAAAGGGGAAGGACAAAGGACGTCGTCCTTCTACCTCTGCCCAGCGTCCTAACCTGCCAAAAGACGTCCGAATGCCAGCTGACCCACTCAATCCTTCCACTCTCCCTTGGCATGATCTCAAAATCCAAGGAGTCTGGAGAAGAAGGAAGGATCGAGGGGTCTGCCTGCGGTGTGAGGGACAACATTTTCTAAGGGACTGCCCTTACATGCTAGGCCCGGGTCAGTCAAAAAACTGAAGCAGACCTTGGGGACTGTGGTTCCCCCCAGTGCTGCACCTTCATCTGCTGAGTTAGATGAATCTGCAGCTGCTTCAGTTGAGACAGAGTTTTGGAGTTTGGGACTGCACGAGCAGCATCCTTCTGCTATAAGGATCCTGACCCGGATCAGGACCCAGAGGAGAATGAGCTTCAGGCACTTGCCGCTTTCTTCGTTCATCTGAAAGAACAAAAGAAAAGTAAGTCTGATCTCATCCTACTTCAGCCCCTGATCAATCACATCAGCATCAAAGGGTTGTTAGATTGTGAAGCCACCAGGAACTTCATGTCTCCCAGTGCTGTCAAGAAACTGCACTTGGGCATGAAAGTTCAGCAACTGCAGCATCCGCTGCAAGTCAGGATAGGTGACTCCACTGTCCTCACCATGAGGGAGAAGGTCAGGGGTATACCTGTTACCTTCGACAGTGCTGGTGAAGTCAGACATGCTTTGAACTTCTACATATTTCCTGATCTACCCTTTGATCTGGTGTTCTCTATGCAGTGGCTGAGGGCGGTCAACCCTAGGATCGACTGGCACATCCCTAAGGTTGAACTCCCCAATGGGCAGGGGGTGTATCAGCCTTGCATGATTGCTGCTGACCACCACCCTAAGATTAGTTGCTACTGTTTGAGAGCGAGGGAGTTTTATTCTCTCTCGCGCCAGTATGACCACGAGCGTCTGTTTCTAGCTCTAGTCAAGCAAACAGACGCTGCATCTGGTTCCTGTCCTCCTGAGATACAGCAGGTTGTGGACCAGTATGCCGATCTGATGCAGGAGCCCTTTGGATTACCCCACCGGCCAACCAAGCATCACATTGAGCTGATACCTGGAGCGATCCCTCCTAAGGGCCGCATGTACAGGATGTCCGCTGCTGAGCTTGAGGAGCTCAAAAAGCAGTTAGAGACCCTGACCAGCAAGGGCTGGATACGGCCGAGCACATCTGAATTTGGCGCACCAGTGCTCTTCGTCCCGAAAGGGAATGGAAAATTCAGAATGTGCATTGACTACAGGGGCCTCAATAAGATCACTAGGAAAAGTACATAGCCTATTCCTAGGATCGATGACCTTCTGGACATGGTGCAGGGATGTACAGTATTCAGCGAAGTCGATCTCAAATCTGGGTATCATCAGATTGAGATGGCAGAGGAGGATGTCCACAAGACAACCTTCAAAACCAGATATGGTACTTACGAGTATGTTATGCCATTTGGACTTCGCAATGCCCGAAGTACCTTCCAGACTGAGATGCACCGCATCTTCAGGCCTTACCTGGACAAGTTCATGGTTGTCTATCTAGATGACATTCTGATATTCAGTCGGACTACCTGGGAACATGCGGAGCAGTTGGCTCTGGTTCTTCAGTCATTACGTGACAATCAGTACAAAATTAACAGGGAGAAATCCTCTTTTGGGGTTCCCTCTGTTATCTACCTGGATCAGCCAAGATAGTTGTTGTTCAGGAGTGGCCACAGCCACAAACAGTGAGAGATGTCCGGTCCTTCATGGGTTTGGCCGCGTACTACAGAAAGTTTGTCAGAAACTTTTATGCAGTGGTTGCACCCCTGACCAACCTAACAAAGAAAGACACTCCTTTTCTTTGGTCTCTTCCCTGTCAGTTGGCCTTCACACGACTCAAGAAGGCCTTGACTCGTGCACCAGTGTTGAAGTTGCCTAAGCCCGCCTTGCCATTCATCCTGACCACTGATGCCAGTCAGTATGGCATTGGGGCAGTTCTTCGGCAAGATGATGGGAATGGTCTACGACCTGTAGAGTTCATGAGTAAGAAGATCAAGACTCAGAAGCTCCAGGACTCTACCTATGAGAAGGAGCTATATGCTCTTGTTTGTGCCTTAAAACATTGGAAGCACTTTCTCCTGGGAAGACGCGTCAAGATCTTCTCTGATCATTCCACCTTACAGTGGATGAAATCCCAGGGAGAGTTGAATGACAAACTGGCACGCTATATTCAGTTCATTGACATGTTTGACTTTGAATTGAAACATGAGAAGGGTTGCTACAATAAGGTAGCAGATGCCCTCTCTCGTAGGCTTGACTCTTTTGCACTGATCTACTCCACTCACTCCTTTGGAGAGGAGACCCGTTGTTGGGCGGGGAGGTATCCACTACGGCTCAATGAGGCCACTCCTCTGTTGCTGCCAAGCAGGCCTCAGCCTCCCTCCCATTTCTCGGACACATACACTTTCACTCGGAACAAGGCCAGGTATATCAGTGTGAATGCATTAAAGGATTGAGGTGTCGCATAGCATCTTTCCTACCGCCCAATACAACCCGGAGAGGCGGCACAACTCTCTCTCTCTCTTTCTCTCCCTCTCTCTCTCTTCTCTGTCTTACTCTCTTTCTCTTTCTCCTTTCTCTCTCTCTTTCCCTCTCTCACATTTCCCTCTCTCTCCCACTCATTCTCCTGTCCGTCTACATCGTACCCATCCCCCATCTCTGTCCTTTTACAGTGATCCAAAATAAGGCTTCGATTTGCCAATCTCAAAGCGACCATGCATAAGCCAAATCATATTCGTGTACGCCACCCAATAAAATCAGGCAAACACTGCCCCAAATGGGAAACCATAACGGTACTCCGTTTTCCGCCATTTTTGGAAACGATATCTTACTCAGCATAGTGATGCCGATCAGCCGAGCCCACGTGCCAGTCACAACAATATCACCATGTGGCATGTAGAGCCTCCTGCACCTTTTCAAAGTTGCAGCTTGTTCCACACCTATCACTGAGAAGAACTCATCTGGTGGCAGTCAGCCTCACTCACACGGCGATCACCGCAGTATGCACCTTTCCAAAATTGCATCTCACTCTCCACACTTATCACCAAGAAGAGACCCTTTGGCGCATAATGGACACCTAATATCCCCTTGCCTTTAGACTCACCGGCAGAGCCACGCGACCACTCTCTCATGCCTTTTCGTCGCCAATGGTTCCTTTCTCACACTTCAACCACGCCGTGACTGGACTCTCTCCCGACGTTCACTCCCAAGTCCCAGTGAGTCCTAGAAGTCCGCCTGTACATATCTACGCGCGCCATTGCACACGGCTCACCACGGACACCACTACTCTCGACTCCTGAAACACCTCTTTGACGGACAAATGTCCGTCGAAATAACATATGGCAGAGCGTGAAACGACATCGAGAGGTAAGAGAAAGCGAGATATGTTACTTCAGGACTTTGACCCGCCTCGTGAAACAAGGGATGTAAACAACACAGATGGCAAACCCACGACACTCTCACATTGATCTTCGACTTCGCCTCCGGTGAACACACTTAACCAAATTGGCGATGGCGAAATGAGGCTAAGGCGACTGATCACAGGCACCCGCCACGGGTGCCAGCGACGCACCAATGGGAGGAATTTCGACGATGGCGACCCTTGCAAGGAGTGGTACGATTACGGGCCCGAAGGCGGTGACCAAGATGAGCGCGAGGATAACCTCCACGATGCGCACGTAATCGAAGCTGAGCACCTTGGCCATTGCGACGGATAGCAAGTTGATCTCGCGGAGCAGCACGATCGACCCTTGTCACGAGAATGAATCTTTCGTCGAAAAACGGGCGGATACATGCCAAGTTTGTGTCACATTAGCGCTCCCCTCGGCACTGGGCTCGACTTCCAGTTCAGTTCGCTCCTCCAAGTCTTCGCGGTAAGTGCTTTAAACCCTCTATCTCCCTTCTATCTCATTTGTGCGTGCGTACTACCAACCGCTCGCTCGGCACAGCAGCTGCAAACGACTCGAAAAGGGATGGCGCCGCTGCCACTGCTGCTACTGTGTGTAAACGAAATGACTGTGCGTGTTGCGAACAATGGTACTCATCTCTCTCCTTGTGCTCTGCTCGCGACAACACTGTTGGACCCCACCCCCAGAATGCACCTCGCGCAATAAACCGTCCAGGTACATTCGCAGTGCGCCTTCTCCCTCTCTCTCTCTCTCTCTCTCTCTCTCTCTCTCTCTCTCTCTCTCTCTCTCTCTCTCTCTCTTGCTTCACTCTCTTGCTTCACTCTCGACACTGCCACCTCCCGCTCGCTTCCTCCCGAGCCACCGTGTTCGTACCCTGCTGTATCTCGAATGTATCCGACCGTAACCCCGGTCAAGTGCATCCAAGAAAAGAAAAGGGCTCGGCTTCAATCACAGCACTCGCCCTCAATGCGCCCGATCGCCCCTCGTACGCTGCTGCCTCCGACGTTGGCTCTCCTCACGTGCGTTCCTACGGTGCACCTTCCTCCGCACGCGGTACGTGCGTTCCCCTTGGCTTCCCCAGCAAGACTCCCCCCCTTTCCCTTTTCGTCCTCTCCTCCTTTTAGCTTCTTCTGGTCGGCCCCGACCAGGTGCTGGCCAACCAGCACCGTTCTGTTCTCCCTAGTCAGCTCCCCCTTCTCGCTCTCCTACTCCCGACACCCTGCCTTTGCTAGAGCGCGCACCCGCGCCCTTCAAGAAGGCCAGAGGCAGTTATCAAGAACTGCCTCTCATGGGTCCCCCTACACCAACGGACCTTTCCCGCTTCTTTTTTTCCTGCTGAGCTCCCTGCACCTTCCCTCTTCCCTGGGCCAGATACATCCCTTTCCAGATTCGACCCCCTTCCTGCCCTTTCGCCCTCAGATCCCGCTCTAGTGGCGGAGCTCGAACCCAGGCCTAGGCACCAACTGGGCCAAACGCATCCGACCCCAAACCAAGGTATATTCTTCTCTCAATTTCCCCTCACACTACCTACCTACCACCACCCCCAATTGTAGGCATACAGGGAACCCCCCACCAGCCAGACCCGTCTCACGAGAGAACATGCAGGGGCCGTTCCCTTCCTGCAGGTGGGTGATACCGATCAAGGGACAGTCGGTAGTCATCAGGGACCATGCTAACAGGGCCAATCCTTGTGCCTCCCCTCAGGTCCTCTGCCCTGCGATCATCAGCAGACTCTGCTCAGTGCCGATAGGGAGATCCGTTGGTCTTCCTCAGGGCGGCGGCTCCTAGCATGCCCAAGAAGGTACATGAGGCCTAAGGGGACTGAACCCACGACCTCCCGAATCTTACTCGCTCTTACCAACTAAGTTAGGCCTGCAATCACATCTGGAGCTCAGCGGCTATTACACCTGCCCGTTGTTGTGTCCAGTTGTACCTCTTCACTGTGCCCGCCTGTCTTCGGGGCTCCGTACACCCCCTTTTCTCCCCCAACCGATCCTTGTCTATCCGACCATTCATCTCGTGACGGCCAAACCCTTTTCCCAAGATTTCTATTGCTTTCGTGTTCCCCTGGCAATACAGGGGCGGCACCTGCATCACCCTTCCTGCGTAGCCGTTCGCCAACACTATACGACCAGCCGTTGATGCCTCGCCCAAACCTCCAAAAACCGCGTCGATCGCATGTCGTGTCGTATGGCCCTGACGTCCATCTCGAAGGCCCGAGTCGCAAGAGTCGACACCCAATAATTGTAGCAGAGACTTGCGGTAGAAGTAGTCGTTGCCGACGTCCGCTGACGGATCCTCCCACCGTCGTTATTTGACCCTCATCCTCACACGTCGTCACCCGCCGTCGCCGCTTCGCCCCAAAACCCAATGGATAGAAAATCGGGCTCTCCCAAGCCCCCTCTCTCTGCCGCCTCTACACCATTCCCCTGCAACTCCCCGCACATGCCTCGCAAACCCAAACTCAACCGAAACCCTCCAAGCATAAGTAGACAAAACCCCGAAACAAGCGAAAACAATCAGCCACATACACACAAACAAGCACAAAATTCGAAAAAAAAGACCCGGCTGGTAGGCAGCCGCCCGACACCATCAGACCATTGCTCATCTACTGCCTCAGGATCCGACTTATGGACCCATAGTCAGGAATTTGCAAGCGGATTCCGATTCTGAACCCGGCTACGCCCTGAGTTCAGACTTGCTATATACCTACAGTAGAGGTGAGGAACGCTTATGCATTCCCAGGACCAGCGACTCAGGACACTGCTGATGTCAGAGTGTCATGATGTGCACGAACATTTTGGGTTCTTAAAGTCATATGCCGCCCTGTCGCAACGCTTCTCTGGAAGGAGATGCGGAGTGATCTGCAGCACTATGTCGAAACCTATGAGCTCTGCCAGAGATATAAGGTCCAGCATAGACCTCCTCTGGGACTGCTCAAACCCTTACCCATACCTGACGGTCCTGCTGAATCTGTGTCTATTGACTTCACAGATCTCGGCAAGACCAGACCTCGTGGCATGCGTCAGGTAATGGTCTGTGTGGACAGGTTCTCTAAGTACGTAAAGTTCATCCCCTTACCAGAAGTAGCTAGGGTCCCCGCTGTGAGAGCAGCGTTTTCAGAGAGGTGGGTCACTCACCATGGACCGCCCACTTCTTTAGTCAGTGATCGAGATCCACGATTCTGCAGCAATGAGTGGCAATCCTACTGTAAGGATTACCTACACTCACAACTGGACATGACTTCTGGTCATCATCCTTCATCTCCCAAGATCAACAGGACTGGGATCTCCACTTGGCTCGTGCACAGCTTGTTTATAACACGTCGTGCACAGCTTGTTTATAACACGTCTATCCACTCCTCGACTGGGTTCAGCCCATATCGTTTGCACTGGGGACGTGAACCATCGATAAGGCTGTCTGATCTGACACCAGGCACCGCAGAGTTTGCCAGACGCTATCGCATAGATGTGGAAAGAGCACGTGCGAACTTGTTCAAAGCTCAAAAGGCTATGATTGAACAAGCTAATCGCCATAGGCGGCCTTCCCCCATCCGTACTGGTGACTATGTCTGGGTGGCCAGTTCTGAATTGTCGAGGGAGGAGGACATCTCCCCCAAGTTGTTGCCTGGTTATTTGGGTCCATGGCAGGTCTTAGATACAGTGGGTTCTGATCCATTTGGACCGTCATACGTCATCGACGTTCCACTGCATTTGCAGACCTATCCGGTCTTTCATGCATCCAAGCTGCTCCCCTTTACTGCAGCTGATGCGTTCCCAGACCGGCCTCCTCAGTTTGGTCCACCGATCCCTGGCAAGGGATATGACATGGAGTCCATTGAGGACGAGTGGGGCACTGGCCCCGACCGACAGTATCTTGTGAGGTTCTGCTTCCAGCCTCATACTGAGGACAGATGGTTTACGCGGAAGGAACTTCTCAAGGCAGCGAAGTCTGTAGTTTTACGTTACGAGGCGGCCAAGAAGGGAAACCTTCCTCGGCGATCTCCTCGTTTACACCC